AAWWAAWKGKTYMAAATCTTKATTYTATATTACCAACCTAAACTTAACTTGTAGCAGTAATTAACATCTATMTTTGMWTGAAAAGTCATGAATTCGAATTTMKAYCRATCCTGTTTTATTATTAAAAAAAAGAAAAACATATTTTAACTATTTTAAAGTATTGATTCATTTTTCGTATCAAGTCGCGAGATCATGAAATTTTTKAAGGAAAAAAAATCAGATCCTTAGAAAACACGGTGTTCATCAATGGCYGACGTCCCTTCTTTCTTCCCTGTGTTTTTCATCCCTCAAGCTCAGCCATCCCTCTATGAGTCGGCCCAACTTTCCGTGAGTAATTTAATTGTTGGACCAATTATCGCGGAGTTTCTACCACCAAAAGAATCATCTCGAAAATTGCCTATTGGTGGTCGAAGAAATTCTGTCTCTGCTCACTTCCAGGAATGGAATTCTTTTGCTACTTTAACACATTGAAAAGTACCCATTCTCCATTTCAATTGGTGGGTTCTTTTCTGCGAAAGAGGAGCTGCAGCTCGTCTCGCCGCAAATGCTGCAACGTTGGTCGCTGCGAAGATTCCCCAATATCTTCATCTTCACCTCTTCGCTGATTCCTCCTGTTTGATTCCCAATTCTAATTATGATCTTCATAAAACCGAGAGCCATCTCGTTAACGTGAAGCAGAAGAAGGATTAGACTTCAATCAGGATCGAATCGACGCAATCTTCAGCATGAGCAATCGCCTTGACGACAGAGAGAACCCCTACGTTCAGTTTTCCTCTGCTTCTGCATCTCCAAATGGGAAAAGTTTGTCTTCTCCTGATTTCGCCCTTAATGTGTTTGTGATAATTCCTCTGTGGATTCTGATACYCTCTTTTCTGTAAATGTTTCAATAGATAAGATGTGGGAAGTGTTGGGTCGGTGCGGGAAGAGGTTGGAAGATTGTTCAAGGAAAGTAGAGGTTGCTGCAGACAGCGTCCGGCATCACTGTTAGTTCTTTCTTAAATCCAATTCTCTTCCCTGAATGTTTTGTTATCAGCAAGAATCTAATAGGAAACCCATTCCTTCAGTTTGATAYTGACATAATATATATAGTTATCACCATCTCTTGCCAATATGGTTGGGTAAAGCTTTCAATGAATTAGTTTCAAATAATTGAAAGTGTTTCTTTCTGTAAATAAATGGCTTCAGGTTTCCCAATGATAACTTCAAAAGACAAATGCCATGTTGAAAGTTAAAACAAAACCGACTTTGTCTGGCAAAGCTTTACTCTGTTSCTTGGTCCTTACTTATTCAGAACCTAGATTTGGAGAGATTATTTAAGGGGTTGGAACAATATAGCTAGTGATTCTATATCGTTGAGTGTATGATTAGAGAATTTAAAACCTGTATTCCAAACTTGTATTGAACGGTTATTATAGAGGATACAAATTTAAAGCCTGCATATTGAATGATTTTTTCCTAAATTTGTCTTCCTTGTTTGATTTCTTCTTAAACTTATTAGCATCTAACCTGCAATATATGTATTTCCAACAGTGAGACTTAGTCCTAGTGTCACTGATGCGGCCATGGCCAGGCTTCATCAAGGGACGAAGTTACTTACAGAAGGTGGCTATGAAAAAGTCTTCCAGCAGACGTTTGGTTTCATTCATGGAGACAAATACGTGGATTCCTTTGCTTGCTATCTGTCCACTTCCTCTGGGCCTGTAAATGGGACTCTATACATTTCCACAAAAAGAGTGGCCTTCTGTAGCGAATTCCCTCTTTGTTACTATCCATCTCCGGGCCAGCAACAGTGGATCCATTACAAGGTATGTCTAACCCATTATTCTTGGAGATATTATGTTCTGATGACTCTGAGATATTAGAATACAAAACTTAGCTGCTTAGAGTGTTTTCTGATAAGCAACTGGTAGAGTTCTATTTCGAAGGAAAGACGAGACAACTTAGGCATTTGAGAGGGAGACTCTGCACAAAATGATACTACTGGTTTAAAACTCACTGTTCGCATCCCCTTACATATATACTCATCTCAACTAACTCAGCCAGATCCGTCAGTAGACTTCGATTGATGAGAGATTCAACTAGAATCACCTACTAATAAAAGAAGCTGGCAGCGAGGGCCCTGCTGCCTTCACTTCCAAAATTTACTCTATGCCAGCTAACCAATTCTCTCACCATAACTTGCGTGTGGATTTCCTGCACTTTATTCTTTGCATATGTAATATGTGGTAGGTGGTCTATTGAGCGTTCTAGTTAGTTACCCTGCTTATCTCTCTCAGTTTACAACAAAGAGTTAAAAGACTAGAGGAAGAGGTAGTTTGTGACTGGGTAGTAGCCAAGATTTGTCTAAGGATTTATTTCTCTAATCTTGCTATTGTATGATTATTTTTTAGCAARGTTAGAGATTTGAACCTCCAACCTCAAGAGAGGGAGTAGATGCCTTAACCATTGAGATGTGTTCATGTTGGCTGCTTTTAACATGATTATTTTTTTATACTTGTGAGCATTATAAGCATGGTGGAGCTGCAGTTTGGGAAGTAATTATATGAAGTGGTGCAACGGTTGATTTTGACCCCAGTTAATCAAATTTCACATGGTTTCTCCAGTGAAATTCATGTTTTTTTTTTATTTTAAAGAAACTATTTTATTGATAATAAAAGGGGGAGACCCAAGAGTGGGCTAAAAAAAGCTCCTCAATTAGACAAGCGAGAGGCGAAACCATATTGATGAAAGAGAGGGGAGAAAAAAAAATAACAGTGAGATTCAAGTTTTTCCTCTTCCATTTCTTTAATGGTGAAAGAAACTAATTGATGTCATTACCCATAATTATTAAATAACAGGGAGTCTTTGGATTCAAGAATAATTATGAAAAGAGCATGGAAGAAATTTAAATCATATAAGATAAATATAATTATCTAGATTCATAGTATAGATCTGAATTAGAAACCAATGAGGAGTAAATTAATGAGTTCATGATCTTTCTGAGGGAATATGAGATTGACAAAGCAGCATATATTGCAACCATGACTGTAATTCTTASGGTTTTCCAGAATCTTCTTAGTGGGCCATACTTGTTTTCTTTTCTTCATCAACATGTAGGGTTAGGGATTTGAAACTCCGACCTTTTGGTCGAAGATATATGTTGGTGGGCGACGGGTCATACTTGTCTCTGGGAAGTATATGAGCCCATAACTGAATACCACTTAATATGGCCATTAATTAGATCAAAATAATTGTCCTTTATATTGTTACCTAATAAATAAGGCACCATCAGATCATTGGCATGGGTGGGAGCGGAGGAACTGACAATGTGATGCAATGTATAATCTCCCAGTATGATACTATTGATGGATTGTCAGTCCACACAAACTATAAGCTAATGTGCAATGACATGTTTTTGGTTTCAAGAATAATAAATG